CAACACGGACAAACTCATGCCACTCTCTTTCTGACCAAACTCAACACTAATCCAACACCAAGTTACTCAAGGAGCAATAACAAGGTTCTCCGGAAAAGAATTGAGTATTGCAACCCAAGTCTTCCAATAGCAAGCCTAGACAAAATGGTATAGCGCTTCACCACTATCCATCCCGTAACTCACCACTCGTAAGACCACCATCTCCAACATGCATCAAGATAGGGACTTTTGATTGCATGATGTGAGCACGAGCAATGAGTTAGCACCTCGTTGCGAATCATCTCTCCGAGAAGAGAAAATGATTTACGTGTTTGATCCTTCGTCCCCAATGACTCTCTTTTCGATCTCATCTTTGACTAAACCTCAAATTTGCTTTCGCACTACCTTCAGTCCAATCCAAGAAAAGTTTATGAGAGAGCACAACAATAACTACTTGAACCAATAGACTAATCCCTATAGTCTTGATTGATCCACTTGTAATCATACCTAGGAAGGATCCACTAGTGCCGTGCTAAACAACTACGGACTAGCCCATTTGCAACTCATAGCAAACCCAGGGAGGTTTGCTTTCACCCATGGTACAAAGAACAACTCATGGAACCACCGATAGGATATCATTAATCCTGCCAACTCAAAGTGTAATGTGCTAATGTGCCTCACTCACGAGTTGCTAATGTGCCTCACTCTCGAGTTGCTAATGTGCCTCACTCACGAGCCCAAGCTCAAACTCGTGCAAACGGTATAGCTCAAATCCATCCTATGAGCCCAAGAGCAAGCTCACATTATTACGGTGCAAAAAGGTAACCAAATCCATACCCAAGGAACGATTGCGAAGTCTTTTGCACCAAAACGTGTACCCACTCGGATCATCGTTTTCATCTCTGCATATGCAATGAGACTAGTTGCCCAATCTCATTGGATAGTACTCGCTAAGACTCATTCTCTGATACCAAATGTAGCGCACGTGGTTTTTACCCTTTATCCTATGGTGATTTACCATAAGATAACCACAAAGCGGAACCTAAACCCTCTTTGTGCCACGTGATAAATGCCACATGTCACATGCCACGTGTCTAAAGGACAGTGGTGTGGAACTAGAGTTTCAGAGCCTTGGGCCACTGAACGAAGGAACGGTGCCAAACTCCCAAGCATGGAGCCGAGGAGTGACGGAACCGAACCACGGAGCAACTCCCAAGCATACAACCCAAGGAGCGAAGGGATAGGAGTCCGGAGCGACTTGGAACCGTCCTAGAGTAACCAGCATCCCAATGCCAGGACCAGCACGCAAAACGAAGCCAAATGGAGTCTGGTGCTATTTCAATATACCGGTGGCCTAACGCAAGGATATGGGTACTCCACCAACTAGCATGGTGTGGAGCTTGGGCTTAAACCTAAGCCAAACACAGAACAAGGACAAGCACACAAGTGGGAGCTAAACTATGCCTCAGGTTGGCTGGCCATGCCCGACCTACCCACTATCCCTACTATACATTTGGAACCCCCCACAGCCCCCCCCCCCCCCCTTGAGGAACACACGTTTTGGGCTTTCACCCCAAGCTTCCCTTAGTATCAGGAGTTAGTCTCTGGGACAAGCTCGAAACTTACTAAATATGGAATGCCACTAGATTGCAAATTTGGACACAGGACGAACACCATTATGTTCACACTAATCTCTACATTCCGTAGATATGCCAAATGAGCAAATCTAGACACTTTCCATAAATAGCATTTGGGACCAAAATGAGAGTAACACAAAGGGCATGATAGCGAGGGTGTTTGGCAGACACAGTAAGTTATCATCTAATGATATTGAGGGACCAAGCTCAATATCACAGGGGTTCCCAACATTAGCAAGTGCAAGTCAACGAATGAGTTTCTCTAACCAGGTCAAGTATGCTTGACTAAATAAACACTTAGGAATTCCTTCCTTATGCTCATCTGGTCAAGTGCACACGTGAAGACTAGCTTAGGCGGAGACTGATAACAAGTCTAGCAATACTGACCTCCTGCCATCGTGGCAGTAAGGTAAGAGTGTCTGTAAGGACTAGTCAACAGGTAACTTTCAATATCCAAAGTCACATTCGCGACACGGAGTGACGGGCCCAATGCCTCCTTGATGTATACGGCTGTGGAAGATGGACCAAAAGCTTGAGTAAGGTTCCCCAGAAAGGGTGATCACCAATACAACTCGTCCTTGGGACAAGGACTTTGTTGGGGGGGAAGAATTGTTAGGCACCAACTTTGACCACGTGGTCAAAGTCGGTCAAAGGAAGGCTCAAGGATATATTAAGGCATGTTAGGGTGAGGGACTTTGGAATAGCCATTAAAGCCTTTACATCTGGAGTTCCCCTAGCAGCTAAGAACTTCTTTACATTGGCTAGCCAAGTGAGACACTCATCCACACCACCATCACCGGAAAAGGTTGGAATTTTGAGTCGATCTACCAAAGAAGGCTTACTTGGAGCGCTACCCCCTCCAGCCTCAATTGCCTCAACACACCCATGCATGGTATCCATCATGCCATGCATTTCGTCTTGCATCTTTTACTGATTTCAATTAAGGGCTTGCAGCTCGTGAACCACATCTTGAATGGTCCAAATTTCCGCAGCTTCATCGGCACCATTGTCGGCACCACCATCGACAATAGGATTCCAGCGTTCAACTTGGTCGGCCATCGCAACCAACTCCTCTGATACCAATGTTATAATCTGGCACAAAAAAGATAGACATCTAATTGCCCTAAACTATGCTATGCCACCTCTTGAGGTTCCTCACCACCCAACCACCCCCAAGCTACCTCAAAAGCTCCACTATGCCACCGCTCCACTGTGAGCCCTAGGGTAGGTTAAGTCCCTCACCCTAACATGCCTTAATATATCTTTGAGCCTCCCTTTGACTAATGTTGACCACATGGTCAAAGTTGGCGCCTAACAGCCAGAGACCCCACCAAGACGATTGAAACTTCCGGCTTGTTCAGCAGACTAGCAAGCCTAAAGATGGATGTATTCTTTGGCTTCGTATGTCCAGTCTCAATATCCTCACAAACCAGCTGCTTCTGATCGCCCTGTTTGAAGTCTCCAATATCACTGGTAGTTGTCTATAGTTTTCTCTTTATTCCAATGTTAACTTGTTTATACAGGAGGAAGAATCAACAACAGCTTCAGAGGACTCGGAATCAGAGCCAGAAACAGTGTGAGTCTGTGGTTTTTATCAGTAAAATGTGCATTTGAAAAGTTTTCTCTTAAACAAGGCCACTTCTGCTGAAGTGACTTGGTGAGGACAGCAATGACAATCACGACAGTGATACCAATGCTAGCTCCGAGCAGGAAACTGCCAGTTGTGACAGGAGTTGAGTTTCTTGCTTCAACCGCACACACAGGATAGTCTTTTCGCAAACGAGGTTCCTCCTGAATTGGGTTCCTCAGCCGATCGAGCATTAAGCATCTCATCTTTACTTGTAGGCATGGCCGACATTTCATTATTTTTTTCTATAATTTCAGGCAGTCATGCGTCAATTGAGTTCTTTGAGTTCTTCGGGGCAGCAGACGGATAAACTCCGAGCTCTTCAACTTTTTAGGTGCTTTCTAACAACTTTCTTCACTAATTCATTGAGGCTTTGTTTTTCTTCAAATCGGGCATTTTGTCACAGTTTTTCAATGTCACGTACATTCGCAGCTTCTGGGGCGATTTTCTTCGTGCTATCAAACACGAGATAAATAGAATAACGTGCTGCAAGTTTTTTCTCCTTGCAGACGTATTATGAATATCAAGGACATGCAGGACTTGGAGGTAGTTCACCACAAGTACTTGATCAATGCAGTCCATCAGTAAGCACTGAAGTAAAGCAAGACTTTTATGCCTTCTGCTGTCTTTGTGTGTGTTTCTTTGGAACACACAGGAGTGAAGTCATGCATGAACAACATAATGCAGTGCTTGCTCAACTTTTGCTCCTTGCTCAAGAACATTAGGAGCTGGGAGGATGGCATCCACAAACTATATTCAAGGGTAGGGAGTTTCGTTTTATCTCTTTTGAGTTATATTCTCATTATCCCAACTATTTTACAGGTTCTAGAGCTGAGATCGTCATTTCACGAGAACGTCTGCCGCTTACACAGATGCTACTTGAAATCCCAGGCCCAGCACCAGCTCTCTGACTTTTGGACGGCTCTAGATTACAATGGCTATTTCATCAACATGTTGAGGGACTATTATGCAGAAGAAATCCTCGATATGAATCCGAGAGTGATTTTGATTTATGCGTCCCAGTAGGCTTTGTAGGATTTTCTTTGTAATTAGCTTCAAACAAGCAGGCACAAAATCACAATTGAAATACAATGATTTTTCGAGTCTTGGTTTTCAAGGGTGGAGGTATCCAGCGTGGCCCATGGTACCATGCCGTTTGCCACGACCATTCTAAATTCCTAACCACGCACTAACAAGTATTCCATTGCCACTGAGTATCGACATAATCTCCATTTTTTTTTTGCGTTCACGAACTACTCTTCAAACTCCGGCTGTCACCTTTGCGGTTGCATCATTGAGATTGTAAGCCACAACAGGGACGCATTCTTTTCTAAAGGAGTCGTTGACAATCATAACGCCAATCTCTTCCGCCTTTTGAAGCAGTGGGTGATCCAGCATCTCCTGCTCCAGCTTCAAGCCCTGCTCCACAACAAACAAAGTGGTTCTCAGCAGTAGATTTCTCTCTCGCGATCCTTCATTAACATCAAAGCTCTGAGTAGATGTTTGCCACTGACACATAAAACGCTGCTTTCTTCTCGTCTTTCTCAATTGTATGCCTTGCCACACTCAAGCCAGCATGACCATGAGCTTGACACCCGCAAGCTGAAAGAAAGCACATCCAATCCACTCCATCAGCAACGAAAGGATGCTCCCAATTAGCTCCATTGCCACATCCAAATGCCGAGCTCTTGAAAGTATCAACCATGCAGCAATAATGCTGCTTCAAAGGTTGGATTCCATAGTCGATAACCATGCTTCTAAAGTTCTGGATCCCCTGGCGAACCATCTTGGCTGCTGGCAATGAGGACCATGACAAAGCAAGCCTCATCCGGAAGGATTGTTGATTGCATCTCATTGAAAACCTTCTTCACCACTGCTGGTTGTCCACTTTCCACAAAACCAGCTAGAATGGTATTCCACGAGATGATATTGCGGCTGGGCATGGAGTGAAAGATTCTCTTGGCATCTGAAAGATGTCCGTTTTGAGTATAGCATTCCAAGTTGCTTCGTCTCTCTGGGGCATATTGTCGAAGATGACGAGTGCTTGATCTAGATAGCCATGCTGGGCCTATGCCGAAAGCATCGTGTTAGTCGATACCATGTTCCATTCTGGGAAGCTCTCATAGAATCTCTTCACTTCGACAATTTGTCCATTTTGAGCATATGCCGAGAGCATCACAGCCATTGCAATGAGATCCCTTTGGCCCATTTGGTCATAAACAACAAATCAAACACACGCTTGGCATCTTCCACATGACCGTATTGTGCCAATGCTGCGAGAAAGGAGGTCCACATAACCAAATCCCTCTCAGGCATGTAACTTTCTACAAAGCTAAAAGCTTGATCAAAATGCCCGTTTTGGGCATACGTAAGGACCATCACATTACAAGCAATAAGATTTCTGTACGGCATTCTTTTAAACAAATTCTTCGTTTTTTGTTTAGCATAAGAAGAAAGCCCAGAAACCCACAAATTAAAAGAATGCTGTTCCTCCAGCATAATTTCAGCTTCTTCAAAATACCCAGTTTGGGTCTATGCAGAAAGTATAGTTGTCCACGAGATAAAGACTCCCAAAGGCATTTGTAGAAAGGTCTCGGTGGCAAAATCAATTTCCCGGTCAGTGCGTACAGTGCTAACATAACGTTCCAAGAAATAATATTTTTATCCGGCATATTTGCAAACACAGCCCTTGCATACTCTAGATGCCCAGAACGGGTATATGCAGTTAGCATCGCATTCCATGCAACTAGATTCCACGCAGGCATGGCATCAAAGAGGGATTTAGTGCGATTGAGTTGTCCAGCGTGTGCATAAGGAGAGAGAATTAGCACGAAGGAAATAGATTCTTGTGTTGCAATTCCTCGAAAGTCTTTGTCGCGTCGTCCAGGCCCCCCAGTTTTGTGTACATTGCAATCAGCCTGTTGTGTATTGCCCAGGAGGAGGTTAGAATGCGAGTGTAGATTCTTCTGGCAGCAAAGAGGTGCAAGTATCGATGAGATCCAGGGATTGAGCTCAAGCTTATCACAAATAGACCAGGATACAGTGGACCTTTTGTGTGTGGTTCTTTCTTTTGCGAGGCTAGACGCCTCTTGTTAAATCTTGTTATCTTTTGCCGTGTTGAAGCCTGCATGGCAGAAGAAACAAAAACACAGCAGGGGCCAGGCTTGTACGTGGGAAGTCGCACTCGCTGGCCCAAAGTATTGGCAGTGTAAAACTTTTGGCTCCCGGCCCTGGATCGCAGCTCTTGGCGGGTGGCCCTCTTTGCAGGGTCATTCAAATAAAATACATGATCACATGCATTACAAAGGTGCTATGCTGTGCAGATTTCATTGTATTGCACCTAGGTGAGAATCTAATGAGTTACAAAAGAAACAAACAAAAATTACTTCAGGGAAGGGTCAGGTTAGGCCTTATTTGACTAATAGTGTTTAAAAGCATTTTAGAATGTTTTTCAAGTGATTTTACTGAATAGTTAGCTGAACAATAATTTGTGTTCTTGATGGTAAATGATGGTAAATAATTTATGGGTTACAATGACAATTGTCCGGTTCACCATAATCCTGTTCAAAGCATCCTGGATAAAGAGATTTTAAGTGTTAGTGAAATTGCACTCAGTTTTTAATAAGCTTTGATTAAAATTCATGGTTGGCCACTAGCAACAAAGCCTCCCTGACCAATTTCATATAACCAGCTCTCCCATTGATTTCCTCCAAATCTTTACTGTCATTTAGCACAAATTCTCATCCCACAACTCCCAAAAAATATCCATGCATCTTCAAAACAAAAACACAACTTTAACTCTTTTAACACTATCCAAACTACTAGGGTTTATAGGAAGGAAATGTATATTTCTTTTAGCAACCACATCGATCAAAACACAACTTCAAACTATTTCTAGGATTTGGGCATGTGTACCTGGGTGGGGGGAAGCTTGACAAAACAACTGACCGGATTACCTGTTTATAGTTATCAATTTATACATCCAACTCCATTCCGTCCTCATCACCCCAGTAGTCTTCCAGTTCAGTAAAGGCTACATCGAAATCTCTTTTCCTCCTAGGCCTGTCCTTGAACGAGCGATGCAAGTCCAATGCCAGCACTTTATCAACTGCACGTGCCAAGGACTCCGGCTCTCCAACTTTGAATCCCTTGTACACGTTCAGAAAGTTTACCAAACTGTCAAAACAAGTTAGCAACAATCACAGTACACAGATGAAGACCACTTACTCCTGAGAAAACAATTGTTTTGCGTTGCCAGCATGAATGATGATCTTGAGCTGGGGACCAACACCGCCTGCAGCAGGAATCACCTCAACAGCAGGAGGCATACGCTCCTTCTTGAAGACTGCTGGATACACTACCATCAACCTGATAATGCCGTTCTTCCACCAGCGGTTACCAACCTCCTCCTTGAACTCTGCCCTCAGTTTCGCTGCCTTGCGAGACCTGAATATGAACTCAGGGTTCGTCGTCGACACGCCCTGCTCGAACTTCTTTTTGTCAAGAAAGTTCAGGAGTCTGAACTGTGCAAAGAGGATCAGCTCCTTGTTGTCTTCCGTCTTCAGTGGGATCACCAGATCTGGACCTGCTAGGAATTCCGGGTGGAGAACCTTTGCTGTTCCCATCCCACCAGCGAGATAGCTCGTCATTCCCTTGGTACTACACACCAGTCGAAGGCTGTCTGCTGACCACAACCTCAGCTGCTGGCAGAAGATGTCTGGTAAAGCAGTTGCGCCCTCAAAGATAGGATGATTACTGAACTTGCCAGCCGAAAGAAAACTGCAAAGAGCATCTGCTGCAGCTATCTCGAGGTTGAATCCTGCCGATGGTGAATTGAGACGATTCATTATGTGAAGAGGGGCGTTGTCCTCACGGAAATAGTACTCAAGCGCTTCCAACACGAGTGGTTCCTCGATCGTTCCTTCCAGCCCGAACTCTCCCTTATCCACATCAACAGCATCCAAATAAGCTAGCCCATGGTGAATCAGCTCGACTTCCTCTTTCCTGGTGCAGTAGTACTTTCCAACATATTGGCTTGTCAGACGTATCATCCGGCACAATTGGATCAGCTCCACGTTGTGAATCCGTGGCTGGACCTGGATGCGCTTCAAAACCGTGACGTAAGATCCTTCCGAGTCCTCCTTCGCGAGCATCGATCGGACACTCTTAAGCGACTCATTGAGAGAGCGTTGCTTTTCCAGAAAATCCTCAAGAACCCGAGCCAGTGGTCTGTATCTCCCTACGAACCTCTGGAGCAACTCTTCATCAACAGTGTCATCGACAGCAACAAAATTCTTCATGTACTTGTACATGTCACCCGTGTCTCGAAACTTGCCGAAGGAACAGAAAGCAGGACCCCGTAACAGCTGTTTGGCAATTGCCGGCGAGAAAACCTCCGTTTCCTTGTATCCGGCCAAACAAGTAGCCGAGAGCAGCAGCTTGGCAGTCACACCTCTGGAAGGCCGGCTAAGTGCCTCATACACTTGATGGAACGAACTCCTCGTCCCAGTCCCTCCGCCAAAAGGCTTAAACTGATCTTTGTGCAACTCGAAGAGCGCCTGCGCTTCATCCAACACAACGACTACATCAGTAGCCATCCCTATAACCTGCTGCCACTGCTCATTGATCTCTTCCTCTAAGGTTTCCTGCCTTCTCACTACACCTAGAGCTTCCAACTTGACGAGCAAAGACCCCGTTAAATCCCTGCAAATATCCACCTGCACAAACTGACTTCCCAGAAGCTGGAGTAGCAACCATTCCCGTGCCGAGAACTTCACCTCAAGACAACGCTTAAGTAGAAATAACCGAGCTAAAACTGAAGCTCGTACTACCGACTGAGCTAGAGCAGCTCGAACGTCATATGCCACGCCTTCCAGAACCAAGCTGCGCAATAATGTTAAGTCCTCAAACCCAAAGTTACCCTGCATGTCAGCTACGAAGTAAAGCCCAATTCTCGAACAGAGAAGCTCCAGCAACGTCCTTGTTTTCCCTGAACCCGATGTGCCCACCACAGAAACCACCGGACCTTTACTGTCTAGCATCTTGCCCAGATCACCAGACTGCGTCAGAAAGCTTGTTCCCAAGCCCGCTAAAAGTAGGCTGGGCTTCCCCTTCACTGTGGGCACAGCTCCAAGCTGCTTGATAGACTCCCGGGCCTTTTGGATAAAAGCGTCTACGCGGGGGAGAGCCTCGATTAATACTTCACCAGCAGTTGGAATTTCTTGAGCTGCACAAGACAAAAGCACAAGCTTAGAACGGAGAAAAAAAAACGGCAGAAAAAAAGTGAGTTTTTAAGCAATGTCTTCCAAACGTCTCCTCGGTTTCGAGCTGTGGCAGACTTAGAGCTATGGGATCAATGGCGCAAGCTTTGGATGGGGCAAACAAGGGATAAAATGCAAAAGGATGGAAGTGCACCTCGAGTGGCTTTTTCGATTCGAGATGGCAACGAAACAAAGCTCGACATTTGGGGCTTCTGCGGCAGATATGAAAAGCAGCTGATTGGGGCTTTTGCAGGGCAAGGCTAGGAGTGTGCATCAAATCTCTCAGATCGCGCATAGCATGTACTTACCATTAGATTTGAGCAGGACAAGCTCCTTCTTCCGCAGCTGCTCCTCCTTCTTCCGCAGTTGCCACTTCTCCTCCCACAGATGCCTTTTCTCTTCAGGATCTTTCTCGCTTTTCAGTTGTTCTTTCAATTCTTCGATTTCAGTGCCCACAGCCAGGATGGAATATTCAAGCTCATCCATAACTGCAAAAAAGGACGCCATCCTTCCCCTGCCCAAGAACCCTAAAATTGGGAATTTCTAGGGTTCCTCTATGTCAAATTAAAAAGTGTTGGTCAATTTAATTATATCCCCAATGTCATATAATTGTATTAAATTAAAAAAAAACTGAAAAAATATTTTTCATAAACTTTCTAGTGGTTGGAGAGGATTAGGATATATTAGTATTTAACATCAAATCGTTGTATATGTGGGCAGTGCGTTGGCTTGCTTATACTTCCTTCAAGCTTGTAGGCCAGAACAACTCTCATGTACGAGGGCAGGATGTGAGATTCCATAGTCGGGCAAGGAAGAACTAACAGGACAAAAAGTGGCGGTCCTTGTCTGAGGTTCTTGAATCAGGCCACACTGAGGAGGCGAGGGTGCAGCTTCAGGCTCTCATGAGGATTTGTTCCATAGGTGGTCATGACGAGGAAGAGAAAGCAGCATTTACCACTACTGGCAATGAAATGCTGGAGAAGCTCCAAAGGGAGCTGACTTGTTGTCCGTAAGGTTCACTTCTCTTTTCTTGCTTTGATTTCTCTTTCATTTAACTCATATTTTGGAACTGCGCTGATCTAAAGCCACATGGAGAGTTTATTCTGGAGCAAGCATCAAGGCCGTGGCGATCTCAGCCAGCCTTCCCTCCCA